CATATTAAAATAACATTGTGTTTATTTAAAAATTAACTGAACATTATTATTATGCACTTTTTGAAGAAAAAAAGTTGAATAATTTAGATAAGGTGACGCTAGAAAAAGCTCGAGCTCGAAAATATTTGAAAAAGCTCGGCTCGGCTCGAGGTTGAAAATCACTATTCGCACACCCCTTGTTTCAACACTTAGGTCATAGTCATGTTTACATTTTATACAAATACAATAACAAAAATAATGAAATGAATAAATATAGTCATATGTTAAGTTAACTTATAGCCCAGTCAATGAATGCAATAAAACACCCTTTTTCGCAACTAAATGGTGGAAAGCTGGATTTTTTATATGTGATAGAACCACATGAGAGGTGTATTTTCCCAAAAGTCCCCACTTCTACCACTTGAGCTTTCCCCCCCACCCCCCTCCAAACATAGAAATTGCAGTGTTTTACTTAATTGGTCATAATTCAAATGCTATGTGAGCTATCGAGCTGCAATTTGTTTTGTTTTATTTCTTATTAGTTTTCCTACATCTTTTTGTATTTGTAACATTTTTCTAAAACCAATACTTAGGGAGATATAAAATTTTAACTTCGTTAAAAGCTGTGTTTCAGAGTGCAAAATTATGTTTTTCTCTATGTATACTTTTAAATAAAAATAATACGCAAATATGGTTCAAACAAAAGTTTTAGTACATTTTTCAAGGTTTACAAATATATTATTGGTTAGTCATCTAGGTGACCGGGTGAAGTGCTGGGCGTCGGCAAAGTGAGCGCGTGCGCGCTAGTTGAACACCTCTGCGCTGCGTCGTCGCATCTAGCCCAGCCAATAAACGCACAAACTGCCTTTTTTCGTAGCTAAATAGTGGAAAGCTGAGTTTGTTATATGTGATGGAACCACTTAAGACGTGTATTTTCAAAAAGTTCCCGATTCTACCCACCCCAACCCCCTCCAACCCCCTACAAACCTGGAAATTACAGTCATTTACTTTACTGCATATCATTCAAATTCTACGCATGCCATCGTAGTGAAATTTGATTTGTATTATTTATAATTAGTTTATCTCCAACTTTTGTACTAAAGGTTTTCTTATAAAACTATACCCAAAGAGATATAGCATTTTAATTTTTTTTATAATGTTTATGTTTTAGAGTACACAATTTTGTTTCACCCTCTATATATTTTTCAAATAAAATACGCAAAATGTGTTGGAAACAAAATTTAGTATGTTTCTTAAGGTTTATAAATATATATTTGATTATTCATCTGAAAAAAAAAAAAAAAAAAAAAAAAACTTATGTGGTGTGGGCGTTGGCAAAGACAGCGCGTGCAGGCTTCTTAAAGCATCCGCGTAGCCCCGCCCGTCGATGCATAATAAGGACCGGCACCTCTAAGTTCTCAACTGTTTCATACAAATCCGACTTAATAATTTGTAGCCTACGTTACTACCAAAACAATCTGTTTCCAAGCTAAACCGTGACTAAATGAAGCACTTCACGGTCAGTAAAAAGTTTTCGTCGACCCACTAATCCTTGATACAAACTGCGTCCTATCGTTGATGTGTCCCTCTCTTCACGCTTCCCGCTAGCAAGGGTTCTCTTTCTGCTCTGCCATGAGTTGTAAAAAGCCTATGTTAAAATAATATCACGAACAACGTAGAAAACTGTTGGGAATATTTATAAGCCACTTTTAATCATGGTAAGGAACACACATTAAAACCAGTCAATGTTAAAACTAGTTTTGTTTTATTAAGTCTATATATAGGAGATTTTAAAACACTTAATAAGCGCATTCATCTTTATTAGCGATGTTAAACGATTGCATAATGTCTACCACAAACCAATAAAGAACTATTATGCTGACTCATTTTTAGGATAACATGAAAACAATCAAATATTAGAGAACAGAACCTCACCAAGATTCACAGTATAGAGTCTCTAAAAATAATTGATCTCGACGAAGTATTAGTGCCGTAAAGCAGATTCGTAATACATTGCTGCCAATTTTTACGGAAAAACCCCAATTTGATTGACACATCTACACAGTATGTTAATTGTTAAGAAAGGAAATTTGAATAATCTGCCTGTATGTATTCCGTAAATAGCCTTGCCTGCATGTATGGGGACACAAATATAGTTTTTTACTTATTTATTTATAACTTTTGGATATTACATTAATTAATTGGAAAGTAAATAAAAGAAAAAAAGTCTAATAATCTAACACTCAAAACAGAAATTTACACTTATAATGTTACTCACCATACTGTAAATATTACATAAAAGATGGTAAGTGGTGGTGGATTTTGATTCGACACTCCAATCATCCTGAGACCCATAGGCGAATTGGGTCATCTAATCATTAGGTTCAGTATGTTTCTTACCCAGCTTTATGTAATGTAATATTTCTTTAATATACATGGATATGTATATTATTGTCAATAGGTGTAGCCATTAACAGAAATAATTAAATAAATTATTATTTCAAATGAGAAACGAGTTAAAAGTAACAATAAATCTAAGAAATGTACAAATGATTAGGTTTCATCTTAGTATTTTTTTTACAGTTTTCTGTTTAGATCTTGACCGACCGCGAGGCGCAGTTAGTAAAAACCTTGCGGAACAAAGCGAGTCCCATTGGTGGTAGGTAATGGAAATCACATTGTAACGTAAGGAAGAGCAAAGAGTATGTTTGTAGTGATTTTTAAAGTGTTTACTAGGCCTAGTGTTCTATACCTAAATCTATCAAACTTCCGTTGGTCAAAGATGAAGAAATC